AGTACCAAACGCTGGTACTTCCCCCTTTCTGTAATTTTTTTCCTTCCCTGGATCATGCATTAGCTTCAAGCTTCCCCAAGCTCACCACATATACACTCATACTTGGCTCATCTCCCACCTTTTGCACTTGTGTCACTCATGCTACCTTCACAAAAGAAATTGGTGCCAACTGTGTCTCTGCAGAGGTGTGGATTGACATCTCATTACATCAGAGTATGTATTTAGAGAGAGAGGGAGGTGGGTACTTGGCTCTCTGCTCAGCCACCACAGTTGCTCACATACACGTCTTAAAGTACTTCAAGCTGGTGTGCAGCAATTGTTGTCAAAGTGAAATTGTAAGCCCTGAAAGTCATCTATGTAAGCATGTTTGATTTCACAAATTGGGCAGGTTTCAATCACCTGTTTGGTCAATAATTGTTCTTGACCTGATGACCAACACCTCATTAAACCACAGCAATTTGATCTCTTCCAATTGTCTAGCCATATCCAGCCATAAACACACAAGTAATGTTTTTAAGAACCCAGGCATTTCAAGCCCCAGCTATCTCTGCATGTTCAAAGGGAGGTACCAGGAAGGTATCTGAGTGGACACGAGTGGACCTCAATTTCTTTTCTGAAAGAGATCGTGCAAGTGCTGTTGCAGTGTGCAGATCTTAACCATCGTAGGTCAAGCATGCATTCAGAGTGCTTACCAGTTGATTATCATCACTGTGGTCAAAAAAGAACAGACAGCCAAGTTAGAGGCTAAAACAGTACTCTGGGAAATAAGATGCTCTTCCACATTGTGCCAAGGAAGGGCCGAGTCAACCGCAAGGAGAAGGAAAAATAAGTTCTTCAAATTAAGACAGCTCTTCTCATTGTGTTGTGCCCCTTATCTTTAGAAAATAACTGCACTTGAACACTGAGATCATGTTTGCCCTTTTAACCCCATGAGAGTCATAATGTCTCAGACTGTAGTTTTATACAAGCTAAAAATCTATTTTTATGCTTACGTATATTATCTCAATAATGCATAGAAAAAAAACTGAGGCTGGATTTTAGTTGTGTAATCACTTTTTTCCTAGTGAATCTAAAAACAATTACAAAAGCACTTACCTAAACTTTGTATTGTTTTATACCTGAAGTCAAATTCTTCTTGCAAGTCTTCCAAGTATTTGACATCTTGGTCAGTCATCTTTCCCAGGGGAGAGCAAAGCGAGAAATTACTTTGGTGTTCACAGTGGCATAAAAAGGAACTTGCTTTGTAATGGATAAAGGCATAACATAGCATTCTCCTTTCCTACTGTCTGAACGCGTAAAATGTTGCACCAATAACTGAACTGACTTTGTATAGCCTTAAAGCAAGTGCATAATTTTGCAAAGTCAGAAAGGTTTGAGCAGCAAAGAGAGCAGCAGGGTTCAGGGACTTTATTTTTCAGAGGAATACTTAGCAATTTGGTAAGGGAGTGATGCAGCTTTACTGCTTTGGCTTTTTGCAAGGGTTAGTTTTCATAGCTACAGCAAAAAGTTTAGAAGGTGTTGTATCTGTACCACGTACGAGGGTAATTAAAAAGATGTATCAAGAGAAGGAAAATAAATCTGTAGGAAATAATCTGGTTTGCTTCGAAAGTCTTTTTCTGTGCTGTTTATAGGAAGCCTTGATTGACTGATGAACAATGCTTTTTAGTTCCCTGAGATATGCAAGCTCAGTGTCTAGGAAAATAAAAGTGTTCTTTTGCTAAATTAGGACACACAGAGTTAATAATTCTGTTTTCTTCTTCTTCTTTTTTTTTTTTTTGAACTTTTAAATTATGTGTGCAAGGTATGAAATTACGTACACAAGGAGCTGGCTGATTTCTGTGTTCAATTTAATTACCTATTAAAAAACCCTTGTACCTGGAAATCATTCTCATTTTCCCTGGTCTTTCAGGGGTGGCTGCACTTTCCCTCATAGATGCTTGCTAGACACGGGGTGGAGCAGCAGCGTGGTTGGCTGCTGAGTTGCAGATCCGTCTGCTGTTGCTTTGCAGCTCTTATCTGTAACATTGATAGAGATCTAGTACCACAACTTCTAAAGCTAGCTTTATCCTTTTAAGGGTTTCATCTCTGTGTAGGGAGATGCTTATGAGAGAATGCTAGTAGGACCTCTTTCTAGTATGCCTGAAGTGTTGTTCGTGGACAGCATATGCACGAGTATTTCTACTATAATTTCTACATCAAGTCTGCTATGAAACTAGAAGAGGTGCTGGGATCCTAAAAAGGCTATAGGTAGTCTGAATCCTTATCCTGCCTTGAAATGAACAGGAAATTATTCTGTGAACTTCTGCAGCCTATTATACGAGACTTAGCTATAGGGCTCAGTCCTAATCTACTCTGCAGTGGTATGACAAGCTTCTGGAGAATTGTTACCATCAGCTCACAGCGTTCTTCTCCCCTTGTGCCTCCAAAACGTATAATTATGTCATGCAGTATTTGGCTTTACAGAAATCTTGATACGCACGTGACTCAAAGGTCAGAAAGTGTAGCTACTTCTGACCCAACTAAAGGAGATGGAATTGCAGAAGTATGTTTATTGAACCTCACATCTATTTAGAAGCAGTAGGTATGTTCTTACTGCACTCAGTGATCCACTTGTAACTTGCATAGCAATTAGTGTGACAGCTTTAAACTAGGTAACTCTTGCACTGAACCCAAAGCTGCTGCAAAAACTGATCTGAGAATCCATATTGAGTAGTTAACTTGGAAGAATAATGGGATAATGAATAAATGGAGCGACACAAGGTGTTGGTACTTAACGATAGCTGAGATGTGTCTATGAAAATCATAGCTCGTGGTTGTGCAGATAGGAAACAGGACAACAAAATACCTGGGCGCTGTTCTTAATGGCTGACACTTTGTGCTCCACATTTCTTTGTCTCTCTGAAACCACAGAGTTCTGCAAAGACTTTTCCAGTGGTCCCTGGAACACATTGAGCAGGTAATACTTGGATGAGTAACGCCAAGCGTTATTGATGATATGGCAAGTTCTAGCACAGGCAGGGAGTTCATAACCCTATGTTCTACTGGCTGAGGACTGGTATGAACGGCTCAATCTCTTTAGCACCACAGATCTCAAAAGCATATTTCTTTAACTTGGAAATCCAAAAGGTGAAAGGGCTTGGGTGTATTGCAAATATTAAATGTTTAGTAAACTAAAGCACCTGAAACACAGACAATTAGATTTCTAAAAAAAAAAAACCAGTATCACAGTACTCATATAAAAATACGTATTGCATCCGCAGGTTATTAAAAGAACACTTGAATGATATTCTGTCTGTGTTTTAGCCATATAACCATTTCCACAAAACGGTTGTGAATGTGGTTTTAAAATTTCTTCCTTCGAGTAACATGCAAACAATCAGTGTAACATGTAAGATGGAATGTCTTTTGTGTTGCATAATTCATATGAATTAGCGCAATGCATAATTTAATATGTACACATCTGTTTTGCAAAGAATAATCTCTTTAAAGTCTTTCCCACAGATTAAAGTCTTTGAAGATTAGCTGTGACATCGAAGTCACTTATAGCAATGTTTGCAGCAGCAGAGCCACTAATGAAGTACAAACATGAGTTTAAAGGGTAACATTTGGCAACCCCCCAGTGTACATAAATCACTCTAGTGGAATTCATAATGAGAGGACAGGATTTGGTCCTAAAAGCACATGGGCAGATTAACGTGGTGTAAATTAGGGAAATGTAATTCATTACCTGCACGGGCATGCTGGCTGCAGCCAATATTCTTCTTTCTTCTCTTAAGCAGTTTGAGATGATCACTGCTATATGCATGGGATTACCATGGTATTTCCCCTGCAAACACAAATAAACAGAACTTTTAAAAATTGAGAATGCAGGATTTCCCACTGGAAATCACAAACAATGTGGTTTCCCTGTCTCTGAGCTCAGTGTGGGTGGAAAAGACTCTCCCAATGTTCTTGACCTTTGCTAGTGTTGCTTCAGCTTCACGGTGCTGCATCAGTTAGTGCCACGGTCATAAAATACTCTTGGAAGTGTCCTACAGAGAATACTAAGATGTAACTCTGAGATGCACATAATTTGATGATCAAATTGCGCCTCTGGTATTTGATAGAGCGTTCCTGTCTGTCTTTTCTATGCAAGCTTTTATCATGTTTTCCATTTTCAATAGGATGTTGCTGTTAGCATGGATCATTTCGGCCAAGAAAAGACTAAAGTCGTACCAGCATAGTAATGATACAGTCAGAAAGGCATCTTCAGCAGAAAGCAGAAGACTTAATTTTAGTCTATGAACAATTCATCTCCTTCAACAAATAAGGAAGGAAGCAGCAGCAGAGCTTTGGCTCAAGCCGAAGAGTTAAAATTTTGTCTGTTTTTTACACCATCTTAAGGAAGGTGCAGAATTGCTGATGTTTGACAGATAAATGGGTGCCATGTGAAAAACACTGGTTTGTGCTGTATTTATCAAGTAGGAAAGCCTGATAACTCAAGCAGCATCTTTCATGGTGGTGTATTTGTTCAGTGTTTCTCAATATCCTTCGTGCCTTTCATTCAAGTTTTATGTCTCTTTCAGTCAGGTGCCCTTCATTCAATATTCATGTACCCTTTTTTCATTAATCCAATTATTTTCTCTTCCTGTACAATTTCCTCTTTTAGCCTTGTTCCTTTTTCTTCCTCTTTTTGAATAGTTTTTAGTCACATTTATTTTTGCTTTCTGTGAATTTGACTTGATAGGTTTATGTATACTTAAACCAATGGTGCATTTTACCTTGTTATCTCATACCAATTGCTCCAATAGAAACCGAGTATGTGAACACTGCTGATAGAAATATGAGCACACTTTCTGAGCACATATCTATTGCTGTGACAGCAGGTCTATGTTTCTAGCAATTTTCACTAGATAGAACCAGATAATGTCCCAGGTGCTTTTGCATGATTTCATGACGTGTTTTGACTTCCTTTGCGAGGTAAAAGAATATTGCACAAAAATGATAATTTTAATTGCAGAGGCTTCAAGATGCTCAGTATTAAATACCACACTTAGCTATAGTCTCATTTCAGGTAGAGATGAGGTGATAGACACAGGACTCTTAGAGCTAAATGAGTGATGTACAAAGTGCTCCCTTCTAGGGCAGCTTTGACTGTCATGGCATTGTTGGCAATGAAAGTAAGGTTTGCAATGTTTCTGGGGTTTTTGAATTCATCCCAGGAGAGGGATGAATAAAGTGCTTGTCCCACGTGGCCATCAACGTACACCCAAAGTAGTCTGAGGGCTGTGCCTGCTTTGATTTGTGGACAAGCAGTTCAGGATGGTAGAAAATCAGTTGGGTAATTAATTAGCTGCAGCTGTTGGCACTGAGGGGTTTTCTACCCCTCAATGGGCTGAAACTGCTCAGCAAAACATGAGTTGATTGTTAAGGATGAGGACATGCTTAGTCAGGAGCATTTGGCTAGCTTCAGCTACAGCAGCTTGCGTTGCTAAGCCTCGTTGATAGCACCTTGACTTGAGAAAAAAGCATTTTTTGTAATAAAGCTTGGGATGAGAGTTGTGGTGAGAAATCTGTAACCAGTGTAAATCCACTGATGCATGTATTTGTTGGTCTGATGACTTCTAAGTATTGCTCTTATTTTTTGGCTGGTAAAACAGTGTCCTGCCTTCTTCGTAGATGGCTAATATATGAGGAGCTTAATATGCAGTGGTATCTCTGCAGACTAACTGAAGTGAGAAGTGTTTATTTCCAGCTAACTGCTGTCTAACAGAATTTGGTAAAATTTGATAACACCTAAAAAGTGTTTCAATATAAAGACACGATCCTGCAAGGGAGGTCTTTGGGTTCCTGAGGAACTTCTGGATGCAGAAGCCTGGACACCAGTGTTGGATTGCAGTATGGAGTTCCAAAGAGCATGACAGAACTGTGTTACTCTAGGCTGAGCCTGAGATTCTATTTGAAGCTCTGAGTGTAAGGAGGGAAACTTGAAAAATCAAAACTGGCTGCAGAGATCAGTAATGAAATTTTGGCCCAAACAACCCTCATGGGGACCTTGAGGATTCTTTTGTCGTTGCTGTGTAACAAGAAAGATTCAAACAGACCCTGTAACTAAATCAAAATGAAATAGAAATCTCTTGGAGCTGGAGGACACACCTACACAGAAAAGGCTTTCTAAAGCCTCTTGACATTGGGATGTTTTAAAATCCCCCACAGATGAATGCCAGGTATCGGGGACTTTCCTAACATTTCTAGATACTGTTCATATGCAAAACATGTAAAAGCTCTCTCTCTCTCTCTCTCTCTCTCTCTCTCTCTCTCTCTCTCTTTTTCTCTTTGTTTCAGTAAGGGAAAACCATCTGAATCAGGAGTTGAAGTGGAAATTAATTATTTTTTCCCCTTTTGTAACTCAGACAGCCCTAGTAATCAGTTGGGCCTGTAATGTTTCTCTTTACTCAGGACTACCTGGCACTTGTTCGATTCTGCTTGATTCGTTTTGCTCTTCCAGCAGGCACAGAGCAGACTGACAGAGAGCTGTCAAGGCTGTAACCCGCCACCAACTGAAGGTTGGAATGATGCTCTGCAGCTACTGTGGTCTGAATTCACATGCTTGTGACCAAAGGAGGGCAATGGGCCAGAAAGGCACACAAATGAAAGCACACAGCAAGCTGTGGGCAGCTGCAGAGCAGTGTGCCACGGCCAGTCTGTCATGCTCACCTAGAACTGTGGTATTTGTGCAATGTGAACAGAATCATAGGATCACCAAGGTTGGAAAAAGCCTCTAAGTTAATCCAGTCCAACCTTCCACCTATTACATTTCCCACTAACCCGTGTCCCTCAGTACAACATCTCCAAGGATGGTGACTCCATCACCTCCCTGGGCAACCTATTCCAGTGCCCCACCTCTTCTGCAGTACTTCTAGCAGATGGCTTGTAACTTAAAGATAAGAAATTGATATGAGTAAACAAATTATAACATATCTTAAGGGTTACAACGTATTAAATGACTGTAATTACTAAAAGTAACAATATCTAATGTTCTTGAATGTCAAAATAATCAGTTTTTTTTTTTTTCTCTCCATGTTTTATATTTCTCAAAGAAAATTACACTTCAAACTGCCAGCCAGTACTATCAGTTCACTGTAAGCTTTCGCTCTTCTGTACTTCCATTTTGTCTTTGATTGAGAGTGGGATTTGATTTTGAGTGGGATTTGCTCAAGTTGAACTTGGCTTCCAAATGACAACTTGGAAATGATTTCTTATCATTGAAGAAGTGGTATAAGTTGGGAAATAAAGAAAAGCCAACCAAAGAAAGCAAGCTTGAGCTGGTGCAACAAAAGCATTGGCAGCTGGGAAGGATAAGGGATACTGATTCTGCAGTTATGCAGGACTGTTTTATTAATGTACTTATATATGTGTATATATATATATACATATATATGTAGAGAGGGAGGGGAAAACTTAGAATCATCTTCTTACAAATACCAACAAAGAGAAGATGGTGGTTCACTTTTCATCTGAAGTTTCAAAAGGAAATGTTATTCGTATCTGCTACTATAGCAGCAATTCCATTGGTCTTAGAAGAGAGGAAAAAGAAAATTTCTGTTTTGGAGAGGTCTTCTGTGCTGTGGTTTCGAGCAAACAACAATTGGTCTTATTTGGAGAATTTTACATTCAATGAGTACCACCATGATGATAAATTTAAACAAATAGGGAGTCAAACTTTCATTCTGAACAGAAGAACATTTCTCTGAATGCTGATGACATTTTCTGGGGAGAAATCCCTCCTACCACTGCCCCGAATGCACTGTCTGCACCTCAGAGGCATCTGCTGGGAAAGTATCTTACCAAATTATGAAGAGAACCAAAAAGGCATTTCTGCACAAAAGATGGATATGTTACAGTGTGCAGCATTCAAACATGTTAGGCGAATTTTAAAACAGCCTGAGTTGTCTGGGATGTTTTCAGATCCTCCTCAGTGGCTGGGGAAATGCAGGACTCTGATTCCCTAAGTTATAAGATCGTGGAGAAACTTGAAAACACTTCTTATGGAACTGCAAAGTACGTGCGCTGGTACAGAGAGCTGTCAATTTTAGTGTTGGAAATGTACTGCTTTTCCTGGGAAGAATTAAGAAATCTATACCAGAGACTGGCTCTCTTGCTTACTCGACTTCCCCACCCCCACATTTAATAATTTCCCCCAACAGTGTTGTGTAATTTCCCCTGGGTATCTCCATCACAAATAGGATCACTCCCAACCTCAGTGATATTGACAGCCAAAGGTCTCTATACCATGCATATCTATAAATGAGTACCTCCTTATATGCACTACAGAATATCCTGTTTTCTGTGTTTCAGTGATGTGATTAGAAGGGTTTGGCTGTTGCTTACTGCCTCTAGCATACGAGGATGGTGTTTAACCTTTAAAAAACCCAAACTTTTACCCGCTTTTCAAGGTGACCTAAATGGCTTGAGTAGGTTTTAAGTGCTTTTTAATTCTGACAAAATGCATTTTTTACTGTGAAAACCATCAGCGCTTGCTATTTCATGTTGGTTCTGCTTGGAAAACCCAACTGTATGCCTTTCAGGCGTGTGCAATAAAATCTTTATTGGCAGCATGGAACTGTTAACTATGACAACTACTGATGTGTTGATGTTGAGTGAATATTTGATGGAAGGGAGCTGGGACACAGGCAGAGAACAGGATTACAATGTCAAGAAAGAACACGTTGCCTTCCTCATTGCTTTCTTGTGACACCCTCGTTCTATCAAGCTGGATATTCAGCATCTCTCTAGATAAGCAAGTATCTCATCTTCCATGTAATGAAAACAAAACAAAATAATTGT